TATGCATCACAAATGTACAAACGCAGTTTGTGGGACTTTTCAACAAGACCAATTACCCAAGCCAACTCTTCCATATAAATCGAACTTTGACTTTCAAAAATTGCACCCTGCGATTCAAAATTTCCGTTTTAATTATTTTTCTTTCTCTCACTGGAATGGTTTATCGAAAAGATATCTGAAGAATATTAAAAGTGACGAGGATTCCTTAAAGGTTAAAGATACATAGTGCAAACGATATTGGTTCCTAAGCCCCCATGCATTCGTGCGGGATTGCGAAAAAGATATGGCAATGTGCCTTGCATCGATTTTGATCTACGCGTGGGCTGATCGAGCAAAGTCATCGCGCGGCGGGCGAGAAATCGACGCCCACGCTGATTAAGAGTACATACCTCTTCGACCCGAAGTCTGTTCTCTTAAGATGAAGCAGGCACGCGTAAAGGGCAAGAAAGAGACAATCGCTTTAATGCATCTCGGGAGAGAGAGAGAGAGCCTAGTCTTCTGTGCTATGCTATCTCCATGGCATTGACACCGTCGCTGCCTCGTGCAGAGAGTACCATATGAGATTGGATGGCGGCTTTCAATTATATGCTGCTTAGTGGAGTACTTTGAAGATCTTTGCACTAGCAATGGGATTTCAATACGAATATTTCAAAATCGAATAAACAAAACGTAAAACGAGATTAATTCATGATAAAATTGCAAACTATCACATCAGCATTATTTAAAAACAAAATATTTTTTATCCATAATTATTAATTTACGTTTGTCGAATGAACTATCGATGAATTATCGGTGTTTTCCTGCGATGCGTTGTAATGCATTTATTGGTTTTTTTTTTTCAGAAAAAAAATTTGTTTTTAGTGAAAATAAAGTGCACATCCATTATCAAATAACTTGTTTACGTTAATAGTATAATTTTAACCGCTTTCTTGCATTGTTTTTGAAAAATGATAAATTGCAACATAACCGATAAATTTCTCTTCCCCCTCTCTGCTTTCTGTGTTGGTGTCAGCAAAAGTATAATCTTATCCTCTGCCGGATTTATGATATCTGATTTGCATGCGGGAACCACGGTCAATGAATCGGCGACCGTTCTTCCACGGGAAATACGCGCGAGAGAAAAAGGTTGTCACGGATTGTGCATCACTGCTACGGTGGCAGTGCCTCGTAAATACATAACATTTACGTACACGTCTCTATACGACTGGAATATCGAGTTTTACATAAGCAGACGATGCACAGTTTTGCACATTCGATACCGAGCGCATTGCGCATCGCGATACAAAACGTCGCATCCTGCCACACAGTTCCACAACACTGCGAAGAGATAACTACACGCAATTCCAGCGACAGACGTGATGGCACGCGTATGTGCAATCGATTCCAATCTCGGGTTGTGCCACGCTGTTCATTATCGCGCTTTATCGCGCGACCCTGCAACAGTCCGTCCTATATCGCACTCATATTATTTTTCGCATTATTCCCTCTCGCGAAGCGTGTCACGGATTCTTGAGATATCGTAGATTACAATGGTTATTGCGATATAAAAAGAAAAAAATGTGGTTGATATGTGAATTTAACTAAAATTGGAATGCAGTGCAAAATGTTTTGATATATAAAAATTAATTTTAATTTAATTATTGTTAGCAGTAAAATGTTAAAATTTATATCAAAAGAATGAAGAAGTTGAGGAAGGTTATTAGTCTAATACGGTCTGATTATATCAATAACATTATCTAGAGAGGGATTGCATCGCAGAGATAAACCTTTAGTAATATAGAAATAAATTTCAGGGGAAGTAATTATTTATTGAAGCAAATAAAATCTTCATGTATATATCAAATGACGCAACTAGTCTACCACATTTGCGACAAATTGCACGGAGGTTCCATTATTAGCGCTGGCGCGAATTAATTTTACGGACGAGAGCAGGAAGGAAGGCGTAATTCAACAGTGGCTTTCTACCGCGGTGGCAATTTACTCTGGAATTGAAACAATTAAACTCATTTTTTCTTGGAATAATGCAGATTATTGTGCGAGCACACATGATGCTACAGCTGTATGCCGGAGGTTGAAAGTGAAAATACCATGATGATTACGCAACCGCCATAATTAAGTATTCCCTTTATGCAACAATCTTTCTTTAATAAGTCGTCATTTGCTCGCATTCTCTTTTCCCCTTTCCCCTCATTCTCTCGTTTCTAATTTTGTACCGAGCAGAAAAACATTAAATTAAAAGGATCAAACCGAATACGCATGATACACACATTGCAACAATAATATGAATTACATATTTTTATAATCTTTAAAATAAACATTTTTGAAAAATATATATGTATACATTAGCGTGATTGTTAAAAATTTTTGTTATTTCGAAATAAATGTTATTATCACTAATAGTATTGGTATAATTTGTCACAATAACACAATCGTGAACTTGGCGTTCATTGGCTTTCTTCATAAGCAACCTTGACATAAAAAGCATTCAAGGTTAATACATCTTCCATTTCGGTCAATAACGGTAACGAGAAATGGCCAAGTGCGAGGAATCTATTATGATCGTAATAACGGGTGACGCAATAGTCCTGTTTCAATTTCTCCGGTCAAACGCGAACGCTTCTCTCGATTAACACTGCTGCGACAGTTAATCGCGCGTGTCGGCGGGCGGAAATCCTGACGAATCACACCGAAAGAGAGAGAGATGGTTTTGGTCGTCCCACGTAGCGAATTACGAACGAGCGAGTCGACAAGAGCGATGCATACACGCGTCGACGACAAGAGCGAGGAACAGAGCCGTGAAGCTACAGAGGAAACGGAGGATTTGTCACGAAGGCAGTTTGGTTTAACTGATCTCATCCGTCTTGGTCGCAGGCGTCACGATGCTCGCCTTTGCTCCCGTTGTCGTCGCGGCGACACTGACAGCTGGTCGACTTCATTGCGCGCGTCGCTCGAGCCGTTTCGTTGTATGTCGGGTCCCGCTAAACAGATTGAATCGTCTCGGCGGTACCATTTATAATTTACGACGAGCATACGTACTGTTAAATCATAAGCAGAATTTCAAAGATTTGTAGCGTTCTTTCAACTTGCTCAATTTTAAGTGTCGTCGATACCTCATTATGTAAATCAGAATCATATTACTTCATACAAATTCCTTTATTTAATTTCTTTATTATCTTATATTGCCCAATAAAGTATTTTCTGATGGGAATCTAATTTAAGTAATGCAATTTGTATAACGAGATTTATATAAGTGATACATATTTATTATTCTACTTCATCCGAACCATTTCAAGTGTAGGATTATTTCTTAAGTGTACGTACATATAATGAGAGCAGAATATATGACATATCAGTTTCAGAATTACTGTAAAACTATTCAATTTATTACGAAACTATGCAATTTTCGCGTTAATCGTATGAAACTTATCAATTCTGGTCGCGCGTGTCGGAATTGCTCGTTTACAATCACGTGTGAAAGCGAGATGACGACCGAATAATGTGTGCCATTACTGACATTTTGAAATGTTAAGACGTTAAGACGTTAAGACGACTTTCTGCGTTTCACGCTACTTCATGAAACCTCGTGTCCGTCATGTTACAGGCTGTTTCGCTGATAATTCTTCCTTGCGAACTTAATATTAATTAAATGGAGACAGATATTGAATTACATGGACATTTATATAGTGGAAAATATAGGATGTGACACTTGCATTACATCTTATGCTGAGCAAATTAAAATCAAAAGATAGTGCTACAGAGATTGTAGAGATATGATAGTTTAATGAAAAATAAATTTAATACAAGCGCTACTAGGTGTAGCTTGAAAAATTTGTAAATTTATACGAAGGAGAAATTTTGCAGTAAATTGAGCCCCTTGTACGATGGCGCGATCAGAAGGGTCACGTAGACAACGCGGGTCCTGTAAAACTCTCCGGTGCGATGTACTCTAATAAAACATAAATATACGAGGCTTGCACTCTCTCCGAGACTCACACTGCTTGTCTACGCTAAGCGGTTATTTGCTGCGTTGTTATTATACCGGCGCTTGGCGTGCGTACATTAGTTGTTCATAGTTGGCGTGCTTTATGCGCCACGTTAGTTACATTAATCGAGCTCTTAAATGCGCGCTTTCCACGCAAGTAATTTAGCCTCTCTTTTTAATGTTCCTAATGCGCGACGCACGAAAGCGACATCGACGCGTTGATATCCAATTTTAAGGAAAAGATCAAAATTTCATGTTTGTGAATTTTTTACATTGCAATAAAACGCTTTTATTGCATATCGATTCTTAAACAAAACGTATGCATCGCAACAAGAACAAATTTATGCGTGAATTATCTATGAAAACACATCGAATCAATCTAATAAACATGGGGTGGTGCCATTTTTGGATTTTTGGATTTTCTGATATACTGCGAAATTAAAACCTATTATCAAATGTGTGACGTCGCGTGTGAAATGATTTAAGTTGTAACAACAATTTCCGGTATCAGTTAAGCAGCATATATGCGGCGCGAATGGTTTTTTCCTTGATCCTTGGTAATGTTTACTCCAAAAGAATCATCGATATTCGCTTTTCCTTAAAGGTAATCCCGGAATAGAAGTTTAATTCCGTGTTCTCCTCTTTCCGTTCATTCTGTCTTCGCTTTCTCCCTCCTTTATCACAGTCTTCTTCGCTGATTTCTACATGAAAGTTCAATTTGCACGGCGTGTCAACGGTTCCCTTCGTAACTCTTTGTATTCTCTTTCTTCGTGTTCCCAAAGATGCACTCTATTTGCGGCGAAATTTCGATAAGCAAGCTTTCACATTCATTATTATCGAACAGTTGAAATGTTTTGGCGAGATTTATTGTATCAAGTACATTCTGGATGATCTTCAAAATTTCTAATTATTTTAGAATAGTTATCAAAGGCACATCTCTTGAATCGTTATTATATTTTTTATTATATATATTTTATGTATATATTATGTGTAAAATAACCAAGATTTGTTGTTGCAGGTTTCATGTCATGTTCGCCGAGCCCTTGCAAGAATGGCGGAGTCTGCGTGTCGTCACCGCGCGGCGAGTCGCATTGCAAGTGAGTAGCACGCTGCCATACTCTATCACGCGTATTATTGTAATTACGAGACGGCGTTTCTGTCCCCGTCGCCGGCTTGTACATATCGTTCGGCATGCGTGTCGTGTGATTACGCGCGAAACGACCCGCTTGACTATAAGCGATCGGGTTCTTCACAGTGCATTTGTACTACGTGAACACCAACTTATGAAAAAAAACCTTTTATATTGGAAACGAATTTTTTCATCTTGATTTATTTTTATGCATTGTTCTGGTCAATTGCCAAAAATTATTTGAATATTATATCAACAATAGTTTTTGATCTAGAGAGTTTATATAAATATTTTGTTATAATAAAATATTATAATCACATATTGTAGAAAAATTAGAATTAAAATTGTACAAATTGGAAAACATTATTTCACATATGTTGTATTTATTGTGTTGTATACGTTAAAAAGGTTCATATATACTTAAGTACACGATTTCACTCACACGGATGAGATTCACGCTCTCTTTCAATCGTTGTTTGTATTACAACGAATCGATTCATTCGTCGGTGCTCGCATAGTACAAACGCACCTTTACGCGCCGAGTTGGCGATCGACGACCAGTTCAAGTAGAGGAGGATAAAGAGAAGGATACTCGGGGGGTCTGAAGAGGGTACGAGGGCGAGAGGAAAAGACAAGAAGGAGGCGAGAGAACCGGACGTTTCGCCGCCTCCCACGCGAAAAGGATGAGAAACCATAGAAAAGAGGAGAAAGAACGAAGAAGAGAATGTAGGGAGGAAGAGCGCACGGAATACTGGAAGTCGCAATTTTCACGATGCAAAATCACGCGACGTCCGAAAAAGTTTGCGTTGCTCGAAAAAACTTTTTTTTTTAATATTCTATCTTTCTATGACTCGAGATACGTTTTGTATTATTTTTACCAAATTGACATAAAGGATTATTTTATAAAAATTTTAACTATTGACAAAGTTTTAAGAAATTATACTATTTTTGTATTGGATAACTTTCACTTGTTTATATGTATAATGTAATTTTTCTTTTCTTATACAACTACGTAGTAAATTACCATTCAATCATATTGCCTACTCAATGCAATCGATGCGTACGTTGAAAATAAAATCGCTTGTCTCGCTTAACGGCGTAAACTAGAAATTGTCGAACGACGATGACTTCTATCTGCGATAATTCCATTCTCAGAATGGTCAGTATGGTAGTGTAGCTTTAGCGCGGCGCGGATGGTCGTAAAACGTTCGCCGGTAGTAAGAATCCTTGCGCGAGCGCATCTCGACGTCAACTTCTTGCCACGCAACTTTTTCGACTGCGTGCCATGCACGCACGTGGAACTATTTACTCGCGCGCACGCTTTTGCTCGAGAACTTCGATAAGCTACCTTGTGCTTCTGTTCCTTGATCCATATTGACTATTCGTAAATATATTCGTAAAATACAGTGACTTGTTGTTAGTAAAATACTTTGTTTTCAATTTGATATGTTAATCGAAAAAAATTGTTTTACTTATTTGATTTATTGTAAATAAATAATTATTTAAATATTACACACACGAGAGCTTTGTAAAAACATATGTAGGTATATTAAAATTTTAAATATTTTATAATTACTTATACTCAAAATTTTATGAAATAATTTATATTTTTGCTCGTAATATAATAATAATATATGAAAAATCTTTATGAGATCACAGTATTTCTTTATTAAACTTTTTTCGATACTATTTTAAAAACTTATATTATTTATAAGAGGAATACAAGTACGTTTTCCGTTGCATCTTTGTCACGCTGTACAGTTTATCAATTTATCTCAATAGATGCTCTCGATTATATCTTCATATTATCACATTATATGTTCTCCTCGCGACATCCTGACTCATTGCTCTTCACTGTTGCACTCTCACGCCGGTGAGAAACGCGTCGGATCGACGTGAGCGATACTACGTGAGTGCCGAAGGGCTCGCGATCGTCATGGGTAATTGGAAAATTATCGTGCCGTTTTCCTCTGTCGATCGTCCGCTCGAAATACGGAATAATGAACACGACGCGCATGATTTCCTGATGGGCAATATTTTAGTAGTACGATACGGGGAAGCTATTCCTGTAAGCGAAATCTCAAAAGACCGTTAACGAGTGCCAGTCTGGGTACTAAAACATTTGTACGTACAATAACAACATCACAACATTTTTTATTTGTATTTGAGATTTAATAATGCATCTCATAATATAGTCTGTCAACTTTCCAGGATCATTAAAATTTATATAAGCATCAAATTTATTAAAGGATTCGTAGGTGAAATTAGTAACTGATAGACTATATAGATCCCCTCCCATGTCTATAGTACTACGCTTCACGACAAGCATGACGCTGGCACGTCGCGTGAAAGATTACAGACTGGCCGCTTGGCGAATCGAGTTTTATACGCTTCGACAAAAACGCGCGCATGTTTGCAATAATGACATCTTCGGTTCTCTACATCGTGCGAAGCTGTAAGTTTCTGCAAGTTCACGTCGCTGAGATTTCGTCTATGTTCGTTGTATTATTGTCCGAACAAGGCTTAGTCGAACGTTTCCTTCGGATGGAAATCGATGTGTCTCCAATTGCATCCGCTGCCACGATTCGATTGCGCGCGAAATGACGCTTAGGCTCGCATCGACGGAATGTAATACCAACAGAATGGCGTGGGATGGTACGGAATGGGATGGAACGAGTTGGGTCGGGATCCGGTAATAGCGGTAATAGTCGGCAGTCGTGACCCGGCGACGCATCTAAATTACCTTTATCTCTCTTCTGGTCCTCGTATTTCACTTTTGTATCAGTCAGCTCTCGACGCCTCCGCGGTACCTTTACGTTTGATGCTGGTTCCCTTCACATTACACATAGCTTGGCTTTCTACAGACAGATTGGCGTAAAGACCTGAGAATATTTATTATTATCTGATCACGATATTGATTCTTTTTCAGTATGCTCTACTAAGTTCTCCAAACAGAAATTCGTAGAACGTTTTTTTCTTTCGCTTGCGATTATCGATTTTTCTTCACTTTTTCGAAAATTATCTTTCTGAAGAAAATAACGAGAAACTCTTTCACGCACTCTTATTAATTTTACATATTACATGTATAGACATAAAAGAATTACTGGTTTACCTGCTAATTTTGAATTTACGGCACTTCATAAATTTTTTTTGTTTTAAAAAATATTTTATTATTTGTATTTATTATGTGTGTTATTTACGCGTCTAATTATGTGTAATTATTTTTATTAAAATTAATATACATACATAATCATCATTTTACATTATTATAATATTTAGTTACTGTTTTCATCTAAACATGATGCTGCTTTTTGCAGTCATTGTATAATTTATGATTTGTTTATCGTAATTTAAACAATATATCTCTCGGAGTTACGACTGCTTCATAACATCATTGCGGTGACCATTGTCATTTTTAATTGCTTGCAGCTTGAAAACTATTTGTGTATTTTAATTCAATTAAACTTAATTCCGAATATGTGGATTTTAATCTGAAAAATTTCTTATGAAGATAAAGTTTGGAATTTTTTGAGACATCTTATACAATTCGCAAAGTGATGTTAGCAAGAGTGTACGCATACATATACGTATGATAACGCAAATAATTACGTCGGCGTGCACGAGTTTGAAAGAGGTCGTATGCCGCAATATTTCTCGGACTTGTTATAGATGCGTGGTGTTTGTGTGCATCGCGACTATCTTATTTCGCGTAATCTAAGCTACAGAGCCGCGCGCGGCACAGCGACGTGCCGCATTACTGCAACGTTCGCGGTATCAAAATTAATTGCAACCCTCGGATTAATACCGTTATGCCCCGACGACCTTCGCGTTCAGACCCCGGACAGATTTCGCTCTACGCTCCCAGTTACATTTTGTACTCTTGTTTCATCCGATCCTCCTTGCGGTGTTTGATCTCGCTCCCGCGCAATATTAACGCGGTTGCAATTTACGCGAATGCGCAATATAATGCTATTACGGGAGAACCGTTCTATCTATTCATTATCATGCACTCATACATGATAAAAATAATTGTTAAACATTTAAGAAACATTTAACTTTTTTATTGCAATTTTTTTGTTATGAGTTTTTTTTTTGCTGAATAGGAAATTGCAAATAATAAACAATCTCGGTCTTACAATTAAAGTATTTTGATGTACTGCGAACGTAACAGTTTTATAGTCCATGCACCACCGCTGTCCGGGTACTTTGGGGTTCGATTTAATAACATTACGCCCAAGTTCGAGAATAAAAAAGACAATAAAAATTTACGTTATTAGCTCCGAAACTCCGTGTTCTTTTGGCTTCTACTTATGCATCAGATAATCCGTAATCGCGGAGAAAAATAATGTTTTATATAAATGATTTTTAATCAACTGACTGAGCTTAAAAAACTCAGAAACGCATTAAAAGTAAATTTTCTGAATGCGTTGATACTGAAAAATTATCGTCGATATGCGAAAGGTCATTGGCCTTTCTTGGCGCGCTAAATGAATCAGCTGAGTCCCGTTTATTTCACGCGAAGCACCACATTCGATGCAAATTTCAATTGAGATTTGCAAGTAGAAAATTGATCATTTTTTTAACTAATAATTGTCTTTTTCATTGATTTTTATGTTATTATAATAAGTAATTAATGATTAAAGTACAAATCAAAATTGTGAGAAAAAAATTTTCTAAAAAAATATTTATTTATATTAAATTAAAAATATTAATATGTTTGCGCGCGTATATCTATTAATTGATTGATTTATATTCGAGATCAACACAAATTTAAAAAATAGCTTTAAACTATTGTTTTTTATATAATTATTGCAGACTTTATGATCTGCATTCGGAACTTTGTAAAATAAGTATAATTCAGTATGATAACAATTGTGAACAACGCCACTTGACAATATGATTAGTTAAAAGTACCCCGCGCGCTCGAAAGAATAAAGGATTTTGCACAATAGCAAACCTTTGGCACGT